TCATCTGCTGTGGCTGTTCTGTGAACCACCTCCTCCTTTCTGTGAGCAGTTCCTTTCCCACCAATGCGCACTTGTGCCCTCACGCTTAGGGGGTCTCGGGCAGACCAGCTGAGATAAGACACACTCACACGGGGACGCAAGATGGCAGCTAGAGGGAGGCGGGAAGTGCCTGAGACCTCCCATCTTAAAAGAGAAAATTAAAAAGAAAACAACAAACACAATTGGTCATGGTGGCATATGCTTGTAATCCCAGCACCTGGTAGATGGAGACAGAAGGGTCAAAAGTTCAAGGTCATCCTCAGCTACATATGGAGGTCCAGGCCAGCTTGAGGCACAGGAAACCCTGTCTATACAAAAAAGATTTTAAAAATAAACAATAAAAATGAAAAGACACTTTGCTTGATTAAGGTTTAAGATATTTTAAAGATATTTTGATTTTTTAATTTGGATGGGCATTTTGCTTGCATGGATATATGTGTACTGTATGTATGCATTGGTGCAGGTGGAGGCCAGGAAAGGGATCTGGATCCCCTGGATCCCCACAACTGGAGTTAGGGACAGCTATTATCTCCTGTGTGGGGTGCTGGAAACTAAACCCGGGTCCTCTATAAGAGCAGGACTTGCTCTTAACCACTGAGTCATCTCTTCGGTCACCCAAAATATTTTAAAACTAAGAGGTTTCCCTCTGTAACTAAGCAACAAAATTCACATTGCTTATATACTGTGAGGTTACTCACAAGACAACCAGGAGTCATGGCCAACATGTTTATCCTCTTAAGATGAAGGACAGACAAACACATTTTATAATTTCAGACTCGGACGTGTTTTTTCTATAACATCTAATCATAGTCTTTAGAAGAGGCTGCCATCCATGAGGGTAACTTTAAATATGTACCCACTTTTAAAGGAAATTCCTTTCTTCTCTCTAGAGCAGTGGTTCCCAACCTTCCTAATACTGTGACCCTTTAATACAGTTCCTCTTGTTATGGTGACCCCACCATAAGATCATTTCATTGCTACTTGATTACTGTACTTCCATTACTGATATGAATTGTAATTTAAATATTTGATATACAGGATATCTGGTCTGCAACCCCCAAAAAGGTCTCATATCAGGTTGAGAACCGCTGCTCTAAAGCAACCTCCTGGCCCCAGAAAGTTAGCTAGAAACTCAATTTGCTGCCACCAAACAGAGATCTTACAACGTTTATGCATGGTCAGCATCCTTTATTGTGACCCTAGTCACTGATCTGCAAATATCCCCTTCACCCGTTAGTGTGAGTCCCAAGTCTTCAAAGCTCTCAGACAGAGGCTGCCCTTCCTTACTGTTTAAAGCTTGGTCTCAGGCCTACACAATTCCACTTTTTTTGTGGTGCTAGGGCCTTGTGTACACTAGGCCAGCACTCCACCATGGAGCTACAGGCCTAGCCCCAATTCCACATGTTGAACAGACTATGCACCAGGAACATTCTTTCCTTTCCATAAGGACATAGCAAGACGCGCGCTGCTCCAACACCTTCAAGCTTCCTGTCGGTGCATTCTCTCAGCTGTTACTGCTGACGACGTTGGATTTGGTGTTTACATATGTGCTACCAAAAAAATGTTAATGATTTCCTGTGTGCTTTGACTCATCACCAGATGGACAGCTTTTAGAGGACAGAGTTTTCTATAACTGCCTAGTGACACACAGCGGGTCACACACTCACTGGGTGGGTTCACCCAGTTTCGTGCCACCATTGTGCCCGCATTTCCTTTCTTAGGCTTTTCTGCTCTGTGGTCACCTGGCGGGGATGGGAAATGCACCGTCTCCTCCCCAAGGAGCACATTCCATTTCCAGACAACTATAGTTAGAGCACAAAGACATCCTCTCCTTTTCCTCTTCACAGCCTTAATTTCTGCCTCTGGCCCCTTCTGTCCATCAGGGCTGCACTCACCAATCTATACCTTACTTTACGACAGCTGCCAGACACCTCCAAATGGCTGAGTACCCCAACTCAACTCTCCTCTCCTCCTCTCCCCTCTGTTGTTGGTTGCTTTACTCTTGTTCTTTTGGGGGGCCCACCACCCCACTCCCAAATAAATCACACATGGAGGCTTATTCTTAATTATAAGTGCCTGGCCTTAGCTTGGCTTGTTTCTTGCCATCTTTTCTTAACTTTAAATTATCCCTTCTACCTTTTGCCTCTGGGCTTTTTCCTTTTCTTACTTCTGTATTTCTTATTTTCACTCTTACTCCATTGCTGGCTGGGTGGCTGGGTGGCTTGGTGGCTGGGTGGCTGTGTGGCTGTGTGGCTTGGTGGCTGGGTGGCTGGGTGGCTGCCCCTAGCATCTTCCTCTTCTTGTTCT